AAGAGAGGGAGAGGGAGGGGGAGAGTCATACATGTAGCTATTTATTCAGTGTCTACAAAAACTTCTATGGACTTGGAGCTGGGCCCTGGATGTCTCTGGAAAAGACATATTCACCAGCCATGCTTTGTTTCCAGGATTTATTCAGGCTGAAATGCTGTGAAAAAACACTGGGTTTTGCTGCAATGCAACCACTCTTTGTCTGGAAGTGGGGTCCATATTTCTGAGACAGTCTGTAAGGAGAAGGGGGAGGTTTTCAGTTTATGATACACATTCTGCCACAAAGTTACAGGACACCATTTCTCACTGGAGTAGCAGAGGCACATCCTGCTGTGCCCTGAGGTCAGGATCTGGTTCCCCAAAGGGTTCCCTTCCAAGGATGTCATTTTTGGATGGTGGATGGTCTCTAGACATCAGTTTGATTATCCCCAGGTTCATGACTCATGATGGCCACTACTATTTTCACAAGATTGCTTGCTGATGATTGGTACTGTATTGATGTGCCCTGTACCACCAGCCAAATTGAAGTGCTTATAGTGCTTATCTTTTCCCCCACTGCATGGATTTTCTGAAATGTTCAGAGAAGCAGCTCCTGGTACAACCAGCCACCAGACAAAATTGCCCCAAGATTAACCTTTGAGACAGGCTAAGTGACAAGTATCATTAATCAGAACAAATAATAGGAAAAATTGATATTTACTGGGATTTAGTTCACCAAAAGGAAAGGACAGTACAGTGTGGCACACCAGCTCATACCTTCATTGGCTGTAGCACAGCACAGCTCTTTAAGCTTTGGCAGATTTGTACCACGCAGCTTCACACAAGGTTTTGCCTCTCCCTTAAAATTCCCCTTCCAGAAAACTATTCCTTTTTGATACAAAATTAAAATAAAAAGTTTCCTAGTCAGTGTCCAGTCAACTTCAAAGAATCAGAGCTAGGATTTGCCCTAGGATAGACAGAGATGGGGACCTAGGTCCTACTCCAGTCTGACTCTACAGCAGCCAGGGCAGCAGCAGCTTTGCTGGTACCTTCATAGTGCAGCTCTGCTGGTATCTTCATGGGCACCAGTCATGGGTGGTGGTGAGGAACAAGTAATTAGGGGTGGTCTGTATCGGGGTAATGGAAAATAACTTGCTTGCAGAGACAAAGGCAACTGCCAGTAGTCTCAGACTGCAGGGAGGAGCCCCTCTCCCTTCCAGCCAGGTAACACATTAATTGGGCTGTGTGACTGTTGCAAGTCACAAGTTTGTATGCTGAGCACAGGCTGTGAGCTTGGTGACAGTGACATATGGGAGACAATTAAATAACTGCAGTTGTATCCAGGTTAGGGAGAGAACAGATCCCCTTTTGAACTGGATTTAGACCAGAAGTGTGTTGCACAGGTAGGCCCACAACCTGGAGTTAGGAATGACACATGCCAACTTCCCACTGTGTTTACAAGCTTCTTGTTCACAGCTGCCTGTGGATTTCAGACCCTGCCCTGGCCTTACAGAACCCTCTCCCTTCCCTGACCAAAGAGGAGGTCTGTTCTTTAGTAAAGACTTATTTGGTCTCTTGGCTTGATGTCTAAAGCCTGGATGTATAATTTCACTTTACCACAGTCTCTAAGCTCATCTGTCTCCCCCGACCGTGCACAGCCGGCTTTAATTGTCCTGCTGGAGGTGGATGGAATCAGCATTCAGGAGTGACACAAAGTGTCAAATGCCACTCTCCATAATGAACGGCCCAAAGGCATTCAGCTCAGGTGTTAGGGTTTCACCTGCTATGGGAAACACAAGGCACTGGGGAGTGGCAGCAGGATGTGTCAGAATGCTGCAGACAAAGACTAGGATGCTCATGCTGGGTAAGAGCCAGCATGAAGGAGACCAGCCTGACCTCTTACCCTCCTCCCAGATGTCTTGTTCCGAGGAGACAGAAGACAGAGCAGCTGGGAATGGCAGAGGCAGCAGTGGTGGAATGAGCTCTGCACCATTTTGTAGCTCCTTCCAGCAATCCCAGGGGCCAAGCACTGCCTATTTTTAGTTCCCGAGGTAGCTGAAATACCACCGTGATGTTCATTAACAGCAGCCCTGTCGGATGGGAACTGCAAGGCAGGGGAGTGGGGGGCTGGTTTGCCTGTTTTGTTTTGCTTTATTTAATTGCTGGCTGCAGTACAGCGTGGCAGGAGGCTCGGCTCCTCTCACCTCGGGAAAAGCAGGAGCAGCAGACCCAGGGGAGGCAGGCAGGGAAAAGTCAATCAGGCAGTATTTAAAATCTACCTGCTGGGCCCAGGGGGAGTTGGAGATTTTAATGTCATTCCCAGCTTGAGACACAGCCTGGAGAGTGAGAAAAGAAAGGGGTATCTTCTCTTCATGGATCCTTAATTGCTCGTTAAATCATCTAACAAATGCCTGAACTCTTGGATGGCCCCATGCTCCTTGACAGAGGGACTTCAACCTTGGCAGGGGGAAGGGGTATTTTTAAAAGTACTCATTACACCTGCTTTTTCTGGATCTGTAAAACCAAGGGTTCACTCTGCAAAATAAAACTAAGTCTGGAATATTGTTATTACTGTTCAGCAGAAGCAATAAACTTTCCTTCGAGTTCTTCCCCTGTTTCAGCCTGCTGACTCTGTCTGCCCTGCAGGCAGGTGTCCATGCTGTGGGAGGAGAGCCTCTCCTGTCCCCAAAAGGGACTTCCAGTTACTGCAGAGGATCATGTACCAAAATAATCCCCTGCCCTACGTGCCCACTTCTGGCCCAACAGACTCACAGATAACCACAGCCAGAAATGTCTGTGCCTGGTCACTCCCATTCTGCCTTGTCATTGCTGTTCATCTCTGTCTTCTGCTCAAAACCCCCCTGTGATGGGTCTTACAGGGAACTGCCACAAGTCTCAGTAGTTGAAAAGGTGATGCAGCTATTTCCCAGCACAGAAAACATGATGACTGTGCCATTGCCTCTGATGTTTTGCAAAGAGCAGCCTGCAGTTAAATCCACAAAACTCAGAAGAAGCCCAGACCATGCCCATGACAGCTGGAGAGCTTCAAATGTGCTTTGCCATCACAGACAGGTGGACAGATCTGTTACTTATACCTATAACCCCCTCCAGCAGTCAAGATAACATACAAAGACATCCTTCTACCTGACTGGAAGCATGGATGCTTTTCCTGCATCACATATACACAAATACTGGAGCCAAGGCAGACCGCAGCCATTAGCAGGTTTTATGTCATTTAGAGTCTGTGAGAAGAGCAGAACTGCCGCTCCAGCAGGGCAGGCAAACCATACAGATTATTTATTAATATTCACTCAGCTCACAAAGCACTCCGGGGCAGAAAACAAGCTTTTGAAATTAACTGAACTCTTCAATGTTCTTCGTTTGTCTTGGCTTTGAGGTGTGAGTCACCAATACTTTTTCGCCAAAATGAGCAGAGTCTGTACAGAGGGCTGGGAAGATTCCTGGGCACTGTAATATGAAGTTAAGTGCTCTGTGAGAAAGATTTTATGTTCATAAAGCCTTCAAAGCATAGAGTCCACCCCATTAAGTTTTATGGGATACAATACTGAGACATACAGTACTGAGACTTCTTCAGCCCATAAAGGCTGGATGTTCAGGGCACCTGAGGCTTTTTCACTGAGCACTGAAATCTCAAACAGCTTCAGTCTCCAGTGCTTTCAGTTTGGTGCTCTGCAATTTCTCCACAGTTTTGGTGTTCAGAGAAGAGGTTACAGAGTTTTGATCCTGACCATACAGACCCTGCCATACACTTGTTATTCCCATCCATACAATAAGATTATTGTGGTGCTCCTCAATGATGGCACATCTAATTGTCCCCAACAAAGCATGAGCAGAGCCTGCACTCCCCTCTCAAGATTTGTTTTTCTGGTCTGCACTCGCTGGCTTAGATCAAACACCCTGGAAGGCAAAGATTTCCACCTGCATTTAGCCAAGAATGGGTTCAGTCTAGCACACAAGAGGCAAGAGAGTAAAACAAGAAGGTTGTCTTCACAAGCTTGCTGCACACACACAAGGAACAAGAGCTCCTCTTTTCCAATTAATTATAGCAATAATAATTGGGTTTGTTTCAGCTAGTAGAAATATGAGATTTTCAAAGCAATGAAAGAAAAACTCTGCAGATTAGTCAACATCCCAAGGGTTTCAAGAGTCTGTGGGTGCTGTGGGAGTTTACTTCTTGCAAAGCAAGCATAGTCATGAATCTGGGTGTCCTTCTTCACAAACGAGTGAAGCATCAGCCACTGTGGACTATTACAGGAAGGCTGAACTCAGCTATTCCAAGGCTGTCTAGACATTCCCATTCTAAATCTGAGACATCTTCCAGACCCAAGTTGTGTCAGAGCACTATCCTCCAGGAAACGTTGCTGTCCCAGTGAATCTCATTTTTTCTCACCAAAAAAGATTCCATCTGAAAATGGCCATCTGGCCCTGCCCTCACTGCCATGCTCTGTAACCGTGGGAGATTCCTCTCCCTCTGAGTCACAGAGCACCACAGCAGCCAAGGTGGTCCGCATTAACATGAATTAGCCCTCCTAGCAGGGGCTCATAGCAAAGAACAAGAATTTAGGAAAAGCAATAAACCAGCATCTGGAAAAAATTGTTTCTTGAGTCTTTCTGCTGTTCTTTCTGATACAAAGCCCCCACTTCAGCAAGTTTCCACTTTCAGTTAAAGCAAGGCGTTGTTGCTAACAATTTTAAATATCCTTGTACATGTATGAATTCCTATCTGTTCCTATGAAATTCCACACATGCAGTGCAGACTGCTTTGTCTGTTGAATAGAAATATTTGTTGATATGAGGTGGATTGCACAAACTTTTTCCTTGTGATTTCCTTCCTCCATTCTCCTTTTGCCCTTTCAGCTGGATCACACAGTATGGATGCTAAAGCCCCATCCTGAGAAACAGGGCCTCTTTACTCCTGATGGTTTGGAGAACTGTTTCTGAAATATCTGGCTCCAAATTCTGCCTTAAGCATCTCTGTGAGCTCTTGTTTCTTTTCTCTGCAGGCTGATGCCAAGATGGTCTGCGATGTCGTAAGTCGGATGGAGGACACAGAGCCCTTCTCTCCAGAGCTGCTGTCAGCTATGATGAGGCTCTGGGCAGACTCTGGGATCCAAGAATGCTTCAACCGGTCCCGGGAATATCAACTTAACGACTCAGCCCAATAGTGAGTATCCTTGGCCATAGCCTTGCATGTTGAGAAGCTGCATTTGGATTTGTTGAAGTTTTGACTGAAGTGAATGACCTAATAGCAGTGGAACTGAACGTGTCTCTGCTTACAGTTTGGGATGTGTGTTGTGCCACAGGCCACTGCAAAGCACAGAGGATCAGGCAGGACATTCATGTCCACTCTTGGCCAGTCTGGGGTCAGGCCTGTGACCCCAAGGCCAGGTTCCCAAACTGCTCCCAAATGTCTCAGGGTAGGTTTTTGCAAACATGGATCTAGTGAATATAGGCAAATCAACCTGTGGGCACAGCAGATGGCTCCTTTGTCTATCTGACTGAGAACAGAAGGGTGTGATCACCTGCTTTGCGCAGCAGTACAGCTCTTGTGTTTGCTTTTCTTTCCTCTGTTTGCTTTTCTTTCCCACTGGACCTTCTGTAGTTGTACAGTGTACTGATAGGTCAGCTGGATTACAACCAAGGGTAAGGGACATCTTTACTTTTCCAGGGGTATTGAGTTACTCTTGTAATACAGTCAGTAGCTTCTCTGCCATTAGGGACCACATCCAGATGTCATTCAATGGGGATTGTCTGAATCCATGGCTTTGGTTCATACTGTCATGAGGACAGGACATCCACCCATAAATGGCTGCTGTGGCTCTGAAGAGATGTTCCGCGTCTCCCCAGTTTCAGTTCAGACCTATTTGTAATGACAATTGATCCAATATATTTGCTTCAACCTAGGTCAGGAGACTAAAGGTTTTCATCCCATAATTGCAATCACAGCATCTGTTGCAGTCCAGCAAAATGCCCCTGGCCCTGGACTGTATCTTGTGCAAGAGTCAACCAAAGGTGGTTAAGTATAAACATAAGGACCAGGCGTGCAGACAGCTTTCATTTCCCCAGCTGTGCCCTTGGACCTTTTGGCAATCAGGCAAACAGAAGCTTCCCAATGGTGTCAGGCAATGCTATGTCCATGCTTTTGGCTGTCACAATATCCCATAGCAACAAGTTCACCAGCTGTTTCATGCACTTCTGGAGTTCTTATTGTGTTTGGATTGTTTGGCATCTCTGCTTGGGGTGTTCCTGGATATCAAAAACAAAACCCAGGCACTGGTGTGGCTGCTGGTTTTGTTCTGTGTGGTGGGCCTGGTGCTCCCAGCTGCACCAGCTGCTCCCATCCAAGCTGGCAGGGCAGCTGGGGAGAGCAGCACTTGAGGTGCTGCAGCAGAAGGCAAGTGATGACACATCATTTGGCATTGATGGAAAACTGAATGGGAAACCTGCAGATGTGTGGTTGGTGATACAGCATCCTACCCAACCATGATCACACCTCAGAGATGATCCTGGCATTCTGCTGCCTTTTAATCAGTACTAGGTGGATGATGGTTGAATCTGTATTTCATTGCCTGTAATAGCAAAATAAGCTTTCTCTTGCCAGCAGCTTTTTCTTTTTTCTTTTTTCTTTTTTTTTTTTTTCACAAAATAAGGGTGTGATGGCATAAACATACCTTTAGAGATATAAATTATCTAAAATGCCAGTCCTAATTGCATTACAACTTTGTGGAAAAACCTTCAATTGTTTTAGAGCAAATTACCTTGAGGAAAGTATTTTGATTTTCCTTCCATGCAAGACAGCAGTTGAAAATAATAAGCAGAGCCCTCCCAATATGACCAGCTGCTGTGCAATTCATCAGCAAGAGCTCTGAAACCACAAGCAGTTTCTAGACATCAACTGAAGAGGCTCTGTGCCGTAGTATTCACAGCAATTGCAATCTAGGGGTTGCAGCCCAGCCAAATGAATTCTTGTGTCTCTGACAAAATCTCTTGCATCCAGATGAGGATGGATGGCCCTCTGTGCCAGGGCAGTGCTGTGATGCCTCTCTCCTTAGCTGTGAGTTGTGCTGTGGCTGGGCACCTTTTTTCTCTGGGCTAGGTTGGTGGAGAAGCTGGAGATAACAAAGCCCTTCTCATTCACAGCCCTGCTGGTGTTCAGGAGCCTCTGGTGGCTCTACCACTGGGAACAAAGATGTTGTCACATGGCAGGGCACCAAAACACATCCTTCTGCACCTCTAGGCCTTGGTGCCATCACAGGAGATGGTGGTGCAAGTGAGAGCTCATATGGCACTTATTCACACCCAGTGGACTCCCAGTGAAAAGAGGCATATATTTTATTTAATTCTTCAATGCTTTAGGGTTGTTTACTTTTGCATGAGTGGAAGATTTGAGACAGTTTTATATTTTTTTTTCCCACCCTGGGAAAAGGCTTGTCTTTATTCACACTGATACTCAATTTAAAACACTAACAACTACAAAATGTGTTTTCATTAGGGCTAAGAAAAATAAATTCCAGAAAAGAACTGAATTCTAAGTTCCCCAAAGTCTGAAAAACAGTGACAGGCAGTGAGCTGCACTAGCATTTCATTTCAGGCTTCTCTTGGTGTTAAGCCTTAGGGACTGGCATTTTGCTGGCAGGAGGGAAGTTTCCTGCAGGAGTCGGAGATTGTGCTCCATGGCTGCTCAGCACATGCCACAAAGCCTGAAGGCACCAAGTGACCAGGTCATGTTGTGGCCAGCACAGGTGAGACCTTCAGGAGTGCTCCAGGCACTTCCCTTCACCCCAGAAAGCACCCACCAAATGCCCTGAATGCTTTTCAGAACCTCCCGCTGCTGCTTGGCTATTTCTAAGGAACCACCTCCTGGGCTTCTCTGAGTCAGTGCTGCTGTTGTCTTTAACTGTTCTTCCAGTGCTTTACCTTGAGTTTTTTTAAATGGCTGGAACAACAGGCCTTCTGTTGCAGCCCCTGGGAGACCAAGTCACAGGCTAATCAACAGCCTGCAAGGGTCGGCAGCATGGCTCTTACCAGTCTGTCATCAATTTCACTGAAAATAAGTTTAATCTTTTGTGTTAGACTAAACAAGAAGTGAGTATTAGCTCCCTTCTGGAGCCAGATGGGCCAGAGCACATTGCTTTCTAGCCTCTGATACATGCAGACAAGTATGGATTTCCTGCAAAGCTTTGTTTCTTTGGGCTCTAAACTCAGCCAGTCCTTAGCAAGAATTTCGTAGCTGCTGCAAAGGAGCAGTAGAAAACAGCACTTTTACAAAGAAAAAACATGGTCGAGGAAGAGGGAAGGTTCTGTAATGGACCTCTTGTGTCTTGGACTGCAAAAAGCAAAACCATAAGGAAGGCAAGACAAGGGAAGATAGTAAGATGTAGCAATTGGTTTCATTTTTTTTTTTTTTAACTGCATTTTTTTGTAGTTCCCTAAGGCAAATTTATGGGTGGGTTGCGTTCCACATTCCTAATATCTTGATTATGTTTTTATTCCTAGTTAGTCTCCTCTTCCTTTCTTGTCTCTATGCCTAGGAGCTAAATCTACCTCTGATCATCAAAGAGTCTGGGCAATGCTGATGTCTTTTTCTTCTCCAGCCAGTTTCTGTCTGTGGAAGCACATATGTGACCCACATTTTGCTTTCAAAATCAGCAAAACAGAGGTTTCCAGCTGGTTTCCTTAATCTCCTACTTTTGTTGAGATTTTAAAATTGTCTTGTGTTTCCTAGCCTCGAGTTCCTAACTAGGCTGGTCAGTGGAGTGCAGCACATAGGGCAAGTCTGATCTTAAGCACCCAGGGATGGGGACTGGCTTTGAACAGCCTCCAAACTTCAGGGGGGAAATGGAGCAGACAGAGCATCCACACGAGCACTAATTTTCCGTGTGCATCTCCAAACAGGAACAGGCCCTGCAAGATGTGTAGGCAGAGACAGTTTGCAAGTACACAGACACAAAAAAGCCAGAACCTATCTCAAGTTCTTCTCCTCCTGCTTCCAAGTACTTTGAAAGATCATTTGATAATGCCAGGGCTGTGAAACTACCGTGAAAATGTAAAATATTTTAGGTCTGCATTCAACCCATCCATCTTCACACATATCAGAGGTGTCAGGGCTAGGAAGCTTGTTGCCTTTGGCTCCCTCCATCAGGAGCCAAGGAGAGAGAGATGCCTCTGAAGAGGGATACAGTTCTCACTGCTCAGTGGAGAAAGAGAGATGCAGTTGTGTTTGTTGCTCTAGCACAGCTAACCACAGCACTGACATCTCAAGCCTGTGCCAAATACCAAGCCCAAACTGGACAACGTTTTGGTTATTTAATCTTAAAGAATTGGTCTGGCAGTGCCTTACAGAAAAATGGCACCAGAGTCAGAATAAAATACTGCAGTGTCTTCCTTCTCACTCCATCTTGTGTGGGACTGTTTTCTGATCTATTTTCCTTGCAAAAGAATTGTCTTTGCACAATGCTGTCACCTCCCCTACTGATTCTTACTGCATCCCACGTGCCAACACACACTTTGCATCAAAAAAGCAGTTAAGAAAGTAGAGCCAGATGTTGTTGTGATGTGGTGAATGGCTTCCAGATTGAGCCCTGACAAGGCAGCATTGGAACAGACTGCCCAGAGAGGCTGTAAAATCTTCATCCTTGGAAGTGCTCAACACTGAGCCACCTGAGCTAATTTCCAAACTGAATTTAACTTTGAAGTTGGTCCTGCTTTGAAAAGGGGCATGGACCAGATGAATTCCAAAGGTCCAACCCACACTGGCACTCTTGGGTTTGTTCTTTTTCCCTTCACTCTTTTTCTGATAACACTGGGTTTAAAAGAGAGAAAGGGTCTTCGAGGTTTGCTGCACTTTCCTGTGTCTAGTCAAGCAGGACCATGCAGCTCTATGATAATGTCCATGTCCCACAAGTCCCATGGTCTAAACATTTACCTTGCTGGCTTCACCAGCTAGGCAAACATTTAAACCATGGGACTTGTGGGACTTGGTCATTATGCGTGACTGTCAGGACATGATCCATTTTAATGAGCTGCAATTGTTTCTGGCACGCCCAGACTGAAGAAAGAAAAATTATAGGTCATGGTTTTGCATTAATATTCCCATCAGGTGTGTAGATTCCATTTTCTCATCACAGCTTTTGCATTAGAATATGGTTTTCTGCACACCCATCT